ATAGTGAAATCATAGGGGTAAGCTTGGATTTTTTGTCCATAATGGAACTTACCGCGTCTACTGGACGAGTTCGGAAACAAAGGAGGGGTTGGTCAAGCTAAGTTTTTATAAACGGATTTTTGTGAAATTATTTTTAAAAATACACTGTTTTCACAAATTTAATTCGGCATAAAAATTATTTGCTCGAGCTTGGTTTAACTCATTAAATATGAGATATGAATCATTAATATAAGTATTGAGACTGTTGTCTAGGTAGTGATTTCATTGGAGCTTACTTGTTGTGAAATCTGATCATGTGAACAAAAAAAAAAGAGTGAAATGTTTTGATAAAGTTTAAAATTTTAGTTTCCTTAATCTTGCTATATTTTTATTCTAAGTTCCTTTCTATGTCATCTACATCTTTCCATTTAGTTATAATGTTTTATCTTATTCTTACTTGAGGGCAAGTAAGGTTCAAGCTTGGGGATATTTGTTAGATGCCATTTTATGCATCTTATAGGGTAGTTTTTGTTATCATTTAGGATCATATTTTGTACATTTGCATGTCATTTATTTAGATAACGTCCAGCTCATGTATTTCGTTAGAATTCCCGTACTGCTCACGTTTGTTATGATTTTTCAGGACTATTTGGAGCAAATGGATGATTGCGTAAGTTCGGGATGCGTTCGTGGATGCTTAGGAGCTTAATTGGAGTCTAGACCAAGAAAGGATACCGGGAAATGATCAAGAATTGCTCGGAAGGAGGAACGACGATCAAAATAGCTAACGGAAGCAACTTGCGATCACGACTTCTGTCCTTGCGATCGCAGGTAGCCTTCGAGAATTTGTCGAGCCAAAAAAATGCACCAGTATGAAAAAAAAAGAAACTTGCGATCGCAGGTTGGTCAAAAACTGTCGAAATAGCAACGTACTTCATTAAAAAATCCCGCGACGAACTTTTGGGTGATACATGCGATCGCAGGTATGCCCCTTGCGATCGCAGGTACGGTATTTTTGGCACCTGACGTATAAATACAGCCTGATACCCTTCCAGTAACCCTAATTTGACGATTCCAGAGGTTCCACATGGCGAAAATATGATTTTGGAGGCGTTTCTTCTCCGATTTCATCAATTTCTGAAGATCTGAAGACTGTGGATCATCTCCTACATTTAGTTTAGTAAGATTAGTTGTTTGATATCTCTTTTTAGTTGTTTTTATCAGATTTTGGCCATGTCTGGCTAAACCCTAGTTTTCAGTTCTGCAAAGACAAATACTTTTCATGTGATTAATCATTAGATATGGTTTTTGATTTGTGTTTCTATCTAGATTCTTCAGTTTTGTTCTTAATGAATGTTTGATTTTGATTCTTGTTAGTCTAATCACCTAGCTAGGGTTTTATCATTCCAGTTAATCAGTTATAGAATACATGATATGGGCATATTTAGTTATAAAATTTATGCATGATCTTAATACTTTATGTTGATTTTGCCTCATTTAATGAACAAAATGTGCTTAATTAGTTTATAATTTCATTTTTCAGCAACAATGACATGCTTGGATGGAAAAGGAAGCGGAACTAGCATTTGGAAGCTTGGATCTTGGATTTTGAAGAAAGAAGGATGTTGTTGGACAGCTTGACCCCTCGTCAGTTTTTTGGCCATATCTCATGAACCGTAACTCCAATTGACAAGATTCAAAATGTTCTGAAAACTAAACACAATTTCAGACGACTTTTGTGTTTTGAGAAAATGCTGATTCCAAATGGACTCGGTGAGTAGGCCATCAACTCGCCGAGTTGGTCAGAAGTTTCGCGATTCTTGACTTTGCCTTGCCGTACACGGGATTTTAAGTGATGGAATCGCCGAGTAGGTCACTGTACTTGCCGAGTAGCCCATGTTTTCATAAAATATATATAGAAATGCTTCTCATTTGAACCCTAACGAATGGGGGAAGTTTAGGACGATTTTTGGAGGCCAAAAGGGTTCTTAGAAGCTGTGGCTTTCAAGATTTCAACTTAGATATCAATTTGGAAGAAGTTCAAAGGCAATAACACACTACTTTTATCTTAAGATTTTGCATAAACCATGTTTCAATCATTAGATTATGTTTTTAGTTTGTTATTTGCTGTAGATATGAGCTAAAAACTCATAACTTCTGTTTAGGTAGATGAATTTGTGAACATGGATTGATTATTTGATTAGGATTAATTTTAATTGGTGATTATGTTTTATTAAGCTTGTTAAAGAACCTTATGTGTTAACAATAACTATTATTCTGTTAATAAATCAGTAATTAAGTTGTATGAACATCTCTTAGTTGCTAATTTCATATGATTTACGTGACCACATAGTTGTATGTCTAGGAATAACGAATGTGAAACTATAATTACCTAGAAGATAGGTAAGTTAATGTGTGAGCTTGTGTGATACACCATCAATAAGAGGTTAATTGAATAACCAATTTGATTAGCTAATTACAAGTCTTTCTAAACCCGAATCAACAAACTAGGAAATTCATTAATTTAGACAACTGGTCATTGCTTGAATTAATCTGTTTTCTAAGGATTAGCTATAGCGAATGTGAATCTAATCACTTTAGTCGGTAACCAATGAAGAATTAATTCGATATATTTACCATAAAATCATCCATGGGAACAAATGATTCGAACCTAAATAGAAGGCCTTTTTAATCATTGAATTTAGTTGATCTTTGTTTTCTTAGCCGTTAGTTGCTTAGTTTGTGTGTTAGTAAAGTATTTAAGTTTCTAGTCTTGTAAAATTAGAGAAAACCTCTTTTTACTTGTTTATTTAGATAATATTAGCATTTATTTTAATTGTTTACCGTTCCCTGTGTTCAATACCCTACTTACCTTAACTAAATTGCTAATCGATAGATACACTGCCTTTCGTTTGTTTGTCTTTGTGTTTAAGTTAGTAGGATTAAAACTAGTTTGTTTCACACACATCAATACGTAATTGTTCTTGTCAATTGGTAAAAGTAACAAGAATCAGATTGGTTCCGTTTTGGGATTTAACTCTGTTATAAACTGTAAAAATCATATCTTTACGATTCCGAGCTTGTGAGAAGTATTGGGTATTGCTGGGAATTTTACACAGTTCATAAAGCTTCTTTTCTGATTTAATTAAGAGCTTATTTGATTAGACAGTAAAAAGTTAGGGTTAATTCAAATAACTTGTTTTGATTAACTAAATAAGGTAAAAGAGAAATTACTAGAGCTTGTTAGTATTTCTCAGTACCAGCTTAGATAGAACACATCTCAAATAACTAGATCTGGGTTGATTGCATTATTAGGAAAGTCACAGCAGAGCTGAAATATTTTTTTTATATTGATTTTAGTTTAGTTTAATATCACTACAATTTTAGTTTTTAGTTTAATTCAAATCCCCCTTTTATAATTTATGTTTTGACTAGATGTGCCTGATGCAAAAAGGCATTGACTTTTAGGCTGTGTCCCCGAGACCCTGCTTCCCTGTGCTATATTTTTAGTGCAACCAACAGTGATAAATTTATTTTGTTTAATACGTGCGCGACAGCGTGTTCAACAAACATCAACGTATGGGTCCCTATCATGACTGTTATCTCAGTGTAGATTGCACTCGGCCTCTCATTACAAATCGTTATAATGCCCTCCTTGACCATACCGGGGATCACAAGAGTCTGGTCAATGATGTTGCGCGTAATCTCAGATGAAATGAACCCCCTAATCTGATCATCGAGCTTCCTAGCTACAAAGTCCGAGCCTGGTCCATCGTTGACACCATAACTACCATCTGTTCTACCACGTAATGTTACTATACTTAGTAATATACCATCACTAACATCACAATACTCATCAAAACTCGAGGGATCTCACACACTACAAGTTCATTGGTCTTATCTCAGCCTTCCTTGATTCAAGTACGGATCATCTGCTTTCAGTAGTAGGGGCCCATACCACCTACCACATATATCTGTACTTTCCTCAAGAACTGGCTTGACTCCACCAAGTCCCTTCTACTGCTACTGTTCTCTACTACTTTCACCCTAGGCTTTCCCCAGGGTAATCACCAAATCACTTTTCGCCATTAGTTGCATAAGAAGTCCCTGCTTTCTTCCCCTAACTAGCTCGCGAATACTATTACATATTACTCAGACTAGATGATTCTTCGAATGAGAGATCCTACCCTACAACGGTTGGACTCAAACAAGAGCTGCGAAATAGAGCTAGACCTAACCTTTTGAAATTATTTAGTCCTTGCAATATGTAACTTAACATATTCATTTACTAGTTAGTGAGAGACAACAAGAACTCCTAAAAGCACAAAGCAAGCAACAATCGGGCATTGAGTACACATAATCAAGCATATACTACTAAGGCTATCATCCTGACTACTCTGTACTAGCATGCATTTCTCATAAAGCTGAAACACATAACAGACACATAAGGCATCCTTCCTAAATCCTTAGTCCTAATCTAGCATGTTGTTATAGTAAAGCTGATAATCATAACATTTGATTATTCAGCCATTATTACAATTTTACAATGCTTAGCTCAAAATAACATAAAAACAAAATAAAATGCACGAACAGCCACCTCGTGGTGGCCGACGACGACAAATGGCGGTAGCCACCACCTCACGGTGGTGGCAGGGGTGGTTCTCGGTTTTATAGCTACACTAAACACACATTCACACACTTCATGTTGCACCAAACACTTTAGCCACCCACATGGCGGCTCATAGGGGCGACAACAGTAGCAAAACGGCAGTAGCAGCAGCGGTTGCGACGATAGCCACCACCTCACGGTGGTGGCAGTGGTTTTTCTTTGTCCCCATCCGAGCAAACATACACACATACACACACACGAAAACAAGAGTTGGGCACTGAATTACTCCCAACCCAGCCACTACAGTGGCAGGTGCCGATCGGAAACACAAAAACGGTGATCCAAAGCCACTGGCAACCCCTATTGGCAAAAACTACTCCAACTCACAGAAAGAACGAAGAGAAAGGAATAGATGGGTGGTATGCGGTGGATCAATCGAGAGTTTCAAGTCGTTCAAACTCAACAGCAACATTCACCGCCTCCTTCGTGGGTCTTGGTAGCTCTCCGGCTTCCTAACGTCTCCGGTGGCAGCTATGTGGTGGTACACGTCGGTGAGGCAGCATGCGACGCTCTTGACTAGTCGAAAGAACAAAAAGAAGGTGGCCGCTGAAAGTGTAACACATGGTGGTGGCGGCTGGACAATGGAGGAAGGAAAAGTGACGGCTGAGCATAAATTAGGGTTAGGGTTACTCGGCTTCTCTTCATGAAGCAGGAAAGAATGAGCAACGGGTCTTAACCCGTGTCCCATCCAAACATTCGACCATTATGCCAAAACTAGTCCCTCCTCACATGTCACACTATCATTGATTTAGCCACATGTCACTTTGTGGTTATTTTCAATTAATTTTTTTCCACATGACATTTTATGTTTTTTTTTTAAAATTTTTTTAATTTCTACAAAATATTTAAATTTAATAATTGCAATAAATGTAATAATAATAAATGCATATCAATTTCATTAATTGATTTCCTTCTAATTTCAAATTTTTTGAATTAAAGTTTTATTAGTTTTCTTTTTTTATTTGTCTAAATTATTTGTTAAATTTAAAAGAAAAACAGACAATTTAATTTTAATAATTTAATAATTTTCTATTTTTTTTTCTTAGAAATTCAACTCCTGAAATGTTTAGAATTCTATATTTTTTTCTTTAAAATTAACCCATATAATACATGGGCCTTACACCTAATATATATATATATATATATATATATATATATATATATATATGTATGTGTGTGTATTATTTTATATGTATGTTAGTATGTATTATGAAAAATTAGACAAAAATTGACATTCATACGCCCACCAAAAGAAAAAAGAAACTCCTAAATATGACAACTTCCTTCCTACTAATAATGCTCAAAATTTGGTATGAACTAAGAAGTTTTCAGAAATCACATAAACAACTTTGGATATTTTTGGCATTTCAGTCTATACACATGTTTACTACCAATTACCACATTTATTTATTTATTTATTTTTTTTTCAGTTTTAGGAAGTGTGTGGCTCAACATAGCATTGGGGCAGAGTCTTTGCATCCTTCCCTTCATCGTCGAATCTAAAGAATTCATGTGGCAATTTCTTCAAAATTTTCGTTTTTATATATACATACAAACATCACTTTCTTTCTCTGTCTCTCTCTTAAACCGTATCAAACTAGAAATATGAAACTTTATAAATTATTATATATAAATTTTCATGTAAACAAGTATCATCCATTATATTTACATGAATGAGTTACTTTCTTCAGATTTCGTAAAATAGATAAAAGAAAAAACAATACGTTTGACATTTATTGGAAATACTTATTCATTGTTGTAATATTGTCACATTTATTTAAATATAACTAGTTACAAAATATCAAGGCTCTACGATAAATCAAGTGGTGTTGGTTACTGGTTGGGGGAAATTTTGATTCTCTTACCCCAAAAATAGAAACCCAAGATTTACTTGATTTTCTCAACGAAATTTAGCGAAGTTACTGTGTTGAGTCATTCTTACAATAAGCAGTTGAAAACAAAACCCTAAAAAGGGTTCTCAGTAAGAACCAATTCGCCGCCTGATTAACCTCTTCTCCCCCACTCTTACCTTTCTTGATACATATAACTCGAACAAACCCTCATCACTATCACTCTTCTTTCGCCTCTATCTCTCTTCGTTTCTTGGAAACCCTTTCTTTTATACTCGCTGTTCTTGCAATCTAATGTGAAAACAGTGATAAAAAGTTGCCAAAATTACGCTTAATGTATCTTCTGTCTGTAACTCTTTAATTTTTATTTTTGTTCGTTGTTTGACGATCGAGTATCGTGCCTGTAGATTATAAACGGGTGACCATGTTTCTGGGGTTCTCTTGATCAAAGTTTTGATATTTACGGGTTTCAAGAACTGATTCTTAGGTTTTTAGATCATAGTCAAGCTCAAATTTTTATTTTTGTTGTAGGGTTTTTAGGGTTTGCCTGTTTTTCTTACGTTGTTGATCAAAGACTCGATTTTTATTAGCTAAATCCACAAATTTCCTTATATTCTCATCCGGGTTATGATTGTTTAGGGTATATTACCATTTCTTTTATCTGGGTATATTTCTTTTTAGTTTTATAGGTTTAATTGGGGTATGCGCGTATAGTTTTCATCCTTGAAGATGTTATCTGAATTGAATAGGAGACCCATGATCGGCACAAATGATGGTTCATTTGGAGACGAGTTGGAGAACGAGTTAGGATTGTTGCTTCACGAACACAGGCGAGAGGCTGATGATCATGAAAAGGAGTTAAACATGTATAGAAGTGGCTCAGCGCCACCTACTGTGGAGGGTTCTTTGAGCGCTGTCGGTGGTTTATTTGGTAATAACAATGGAAGCAATAATAATAACAATCATTTAGCATTCTCTGAGTTTGCTGGTGGCAACGGATTTATGTCGGAAGATGAACTTAGGGCTGATCCCGCTTATTTATCTTACTATTACTCAAACGTTAATTTAAACCCTAGGTTGCCGCCACCATTGCTGTCAAAAGAGGACTGGCGGTTTTCCCAAAGAATGCAAAGTGGTGGTGGTGGTGGTGGGGTGGGTTTAGGAGGGATTGGGGATAGGAGGAAATCCAACCGGACTGATGGTGGTGGTGGCGGCAGTGGTGGTGGTGGGGTGTCTCTTTTTTCGATGCCGCCTGGTTTTAACTCAAAGAAACAAGAGGCTGAGATTTCTGAGGCTGAGAAAGTTAAGGTTTCAGCTGAGTGGGGTGGTGATGGATTGATTGGGTTGCCTGGTTTAGGGCTAGGTAGCAAACAGAAGAGCCTTGCTGAGATTTTCCAGGTGATCTTTTTCATTTTCTGCTTCCATTTCTATGAAATTTATTGATTATTGATTTAACTTCTGATTTCTATTTGATGCGTTTGAAGCGATTGTTTAATGTCAAGATTTAAGTGATGTTTGGATGTGTGTTTAAACTGATATTGTTTTGACTAATCTTGATAAATGTTGATTATGATTATTTAATCAAAAAATAATTCGATTTGGAGAAGCAGTAAAAAGTTGCTTCAAGAAAAAATTGGTTAGACTGATTACTTGTTCTGATTGCTCAAGTTGCAATAATTGCTTTCAAAACAAACATACAATATCAAAAAGTGTTTACTTGCTTGTTATGTTGACTTTTTTTTTTTTTTTTTTTTTTTTTTTTTAATCTTTCAGATTCAAGCTTATATCGTCTTCTTTCATGAATTTTCAAAAAATGTTATTTTTAGGTTTATCACTCATTTTCTGATTATGTGATATTAATAGAGTGATCAGAATCAGCTAATCAACTGTAATAAAAAAACACAGTTTGATGTTGTGACAAATTCTGATTATTCAAAGAAGCAATAGATAAATGAAGGGTAAATAAGTAGTTTGACTCTCCCTTTTGGGTCAAACGCAATATACTGATCATATGATATACGAAACATGCAGGATGATTTGACCCGTTCGACTCCACCATCCGGGCACCCATCTCGACCCGCAAGCCGCAACACTTTTGAAAACAATGATGACAACAACACACTCCCAACATCATACTCTTACGCTGCAGCATTAGCAGCTTCTTTATCAAGAAGCGGGACCCCCGACCCGCAACACATCGCCCGGGTTCCAAGCCCGGTCCCGACTCCAATCGGAGGCGGGCGGGTCGAAAAAAGAAATCTAAACGGTCAAAACAATCTCTTCAATGGCGGGTCATCTTCAAAAGAGTCAGAAGATCTGGTAACTGCATTATCTGGCATGAACTTGTCAAATGGAAGCATGAGTGAAGCCAAGAATCGGGCCCACTTTGATCAGAATCAAGATTACCATGATGCTTATCCATCCAATAACAACAACAACAGTAATAACAATAATAATAATAATAGTAATAGTAATAGTAGTATTAATAATCTGTATGTTGATGGATCCTCTAATAACATCTATGGAGGCTGGGATCCAGCGTATTCCAATTATGGTACGACCGCATACACCACCAATTCGCCACAAATGGTGTCCGGTCAAGTCGGCAATTTGAACCTGCCGCCACTTTTCGAGAACGCTGCCGCGGCGGCCTCTGCCATGGCTTTCCCAGGAATGGAATCGAGGTTCGGAATGGAATCACAGAGCAGAATCGGGGGAAACACGCCTTTTATCGACCCGATGTATCTTCAGTATCTGAGAACAACCGAATATGCAGCTCAGATAGCTGCTCTGAATGATCCGGGCCTCGATAGAAACAGTTATTTAGGGAACAATTCGTATACAGATTTGCTTCAAAAAGCATATCTTGGAAGCTTATCATCACCACAGAAATCACAGTATCCGTTTGGTGGAAAGTCTGCAAGTCCAAACCACCATGGGTATTATGGGAATCACGGGTATGGAATGGGATTATCGTATCCCGGGAGTCCATTGATAAGCCCGGTTCCAAACTCACCTCGGGGACCGGGTAGCCCGATTCGACTCGGTGAACTCAATGCACGATTCTCCCCTCAGATGAGGAACTTAGGTGGTGGTGGTGGTGGTGTTATGGGGCCTTGGCATCTTGATGGTGCTGATAATAGCTTTGCTTCTTCTTTGCTTGAAGAGTTTAAGAGCAATAAAACTAAGTCCTTTGAGCTTTCTGAAATCACTGGGCATGTAGTTGAATTCAGGTATATATATATATGTAAGTTTATAAATGACTAGATGTTTTTAAATTTTATATTGAAAGTTGATCTTGTTTTTAATGAGCAGTGCGGATCAGTATGGGAGTCGTTTCATTCAACAGAAACTTGAAACTGCAACTACAGAAGAAAAAAACATGGTTTTCCAAGAGATCTTTCCACAGGCACTTACACTGATGACTGATGTTTTTGGAAACTATGTGATTCAGAAGGTATAATTTATATCGTTCAAGATGGGACCCACAAAACAGAGTTGACTTTTTTCTATTTTTGGATTGATTTTTGTTATTGCAGTTCTTTGAGCATGGAATGCCAACCCAAAGAAGAGAATTGGCTGGAAAGCTTTTAGGGCATGTGTTGACACTCAGCCTTCAGATGTATGGTTGTCGTGTAATCCAGAAGGTAAATTATCGTTTTCATTTGGTAAATGGTAATTACATGAGTTTTTATCCATGAATTTGTCTAAATGTTGACTTTTTTAGGCAATTGAGGTTGTTGACTTGGATCAAAAGATCAAAATGGTGGAAGAACTTGATGGACATATCATGCGATGTGTACGTGATCAGAATGGAAACCATGTTATTCAAAAGTGCATTGAATGTGTTCCTGAACAACATATTCAATTCATCATCACCACTTTCTTTGATCAAGTTGTCACCCTTTCCACCCATCCATACGGGTGTCGTGTCATCCAGGTTCATATTTTTCTCTTCTTTTAGCTGTTTCACTTGAACTTCTTAAAGGCTAAATACAAATAAAAAGAAAAGCATACACTCTTATCTATGTTTTTGCAGAGGGTACTTGAGCATTGTGAGGATCAAGAAACACAAAGCAAGGTGATGACTGAGATTCTCGCATGTGTAAGCATGCTTGCACAAGATCAGTATGGAAATTATGTTGTACAGGTGCAGAATACAAAATACAAAATAGCTCTTATTTTGATTTTAATATTTCATTTTGTTTATAAAATGTATGGTTTTTGTGTGTTTGGAGCACAGCATGTACTGGAACATGGAAAGCCAGATGAGCGTTCGATTATAATCCATGAGTTGGCTGGAAAGATTGTTCAGATGAGTCAACAGAAGTTTGCATCAAATGTTGTTGAGAAATGTTTGACTTTTGGTGATGCTAGTGAACGCCAACTCCTTGTGAATGAGATGCTTGGCACTACTGATGAGAATGAGCCTCTTCAGGTTTGTTTTCTTAATAACTTTTTACAAATTTGTCATCTCTTTCATTTCTCCCACGTGTGTTGTCATTTATCTTTTATATCTTTGTATATTCAGGCGATGATGAAAGATCAGTTTGCAAATTACGTGGTGCAAAAGGTACTGGAAACATGTAGTGATCAAGAACGTGAGCACATACTGACAAGAATCAAAGTTCATCTGAATGCACTGAAGAAATACACGTATGGGAAACATATCGTTGCTCGTGTGGAGAAGCTTGTTGCTGCTGGAGGTATGTTAGGTTATGTTTTCATGTGTAAAAGTCAAAATGTTGACCTAAAACTTTTTGGAATTATTTAAAATGTTTGGTGAAATTGAGAATTGCAGAAAGGAGGATTGCAGCTCAGTTGTCGCATGGTGCTTAGGAGCATTCCATTCCATGTAGGAGGTGGAGATGTACAGCTAACTGAGAGGCTAGTTTGAGAGCTATACACCTTTCTGTCTGAAAATAGTGGTTGGTTGAGGCTGTGAGCCTAGATTTGCAAATGTACTAGAAGAAACTGTAAATGCTGTAGTTTTATACATAGTCGAGGGGGCTACACGGGTTTTCCTGAATTTATAAGGGTGTAAAAAATGAGTGTTACACACTGTGACGTGACGTGACTGTACAAAAATGTTGCCCGTGGTCGTTTATGTTTCTAGGCAGAGAGTTGGATTGTATCCTATCCTATCGTATCGTATTTAAAACAGTTTTCTTATTCAGTCAAAAATGTCACTTTGAACCTCTCTCTCTCTCTCTCTCTCTCTCTCTCTCTCTCTCTCTTCATGCTTCTTGTATTTTGTGTTGGTAGTAGTATTCTCAATTTCTCTCTCTTACTTTATATGCTAGTAATTCTAGGACCAGAGTGGTCCAAACGTTTGATATGTAGGACCAATTGTCTGTTCCTAGTTAGTTATTATGTATTTACACATTTGGTTTACGAGTCGTTCATGTTGTATATAAAATTATTTTACATTTTTTTACTACATTTTCCAGAAACCAGATTTCCGTTCAAGATTTTTTTGTAAATATTTTCTTTGTTCTAGGTAATGAAATCAGACAGCCATTAACTTTTTTATTTTTCAAGCTTAAATGACATTGCTTGATGTTTTGCATAATCCGGACAAAACTGCAAATTTGGTTCTTGTGGTTTGTTAAAATCTTTGGATGGGGTCCAAAAAGTTTCTAACTTGTATTAAAGGTTCAAAATCAAGGTTTTCATGGGTTTTTAGTCCATTCCGTCATTATCTGTTTGTTTGGAGCTGTTAATGCCATCACGTGCCCTCCATGTGAGTGCATTTTGGTCATTTTAGGTCCTAGCCTCCGATGATGCCACTTCAATTAATAAGATTGCAGACTGTACTTCACTCCGTCTTTTAATCATACCTCAATTAGCCAGACGCAAAAACCCTAACGATTGTCTGAGAATTGGCTTGTGTTCATGCTTTTAAAAATGTGGGGACTTAGAAATGTTGGAGAGAATGTTAACATTCAAGAAGTTTATGGTAAGATTCAAACTTTAAAAAAACTTAGAAAAACTCTGTATTTGATGATCAAGCTTCAAACTTTGAAAAACTCCAACAATCGTCTCTTTTTGTTTTGAAGATGGTTACCCCAACATATTCTCTATAGAACTTCATCACGGAGGGAGTTTCACAAAGTTTCCAAATATCAGGTATATTAATGCCAAGTAAGATACTTTGATGTTGTCGACATTGATGAATTTGTTCATGAACTAGACTTGATGATGAGAGAATTAGGGTATCATGGTAGTGAAATCATGTATTACCATTTCCGTTTGCCTAATGAAGGATTTGACTTTGGACTCCGAGCATTAGGTAACGATGATGATGTGCATAATCTCTCACGGTATGTTACCCATAACAAAATGATTAAAGTGTACACAGAGCATGGTCAAACGAACCTGGTTACATATTTTATGTCCCCAACTGGTCCAAGAAGGGTTATAATAGAAGACATGGACAATCAGGATCCTCTTAGATCCTTATCACCTGTCGTTGCTCATGAAGTGGTAACTCCAATCCAAAATGATGTTGGTGAGGGTGATTTAGGGTTAGCATTAACCTTATACAAATCAGTAACACCTGAAGTTAGTAGGTCTAAAGGTTGGAAACATGGTAAAGGGGCATCGTCTTGTAGTAGAAAGCTTAACTTTGATTGGGAAGGTGGTGAAAAAACAATGGCAAGTGGTGAAGTTGATAAAGGTAAGGATGTTGAGCCAATTGTGACATCCCCAAAATCTCGGCCAGAAAAAACCGATTTTCATTTATGCTTTTAAAATAATTTCAGAGTAAATCCTTTTGATTTGAAAGAGTTGCGGAATTTGTTCCAAAAACAAAACGTGATAAAACAATGTTTACCAAAGCATTTCATAAAAGAAATGTATTTTCATTATATAATCAAAACTCGGGATGTCATGTTTCGATACAGACCATAAAGCATAAACGATAACATTACAAGTCATTCAACAAATATATACATATACAGACTTGTAAACAAAACAACTTGATGGTTCATCTATCTTATGCCCTTGCGCCACTTCCTGTAATACAAATAAAACCGAGTGGGTCAGGGTTGAGAGCCTGGTGAGCATATAGGGTTTTCAACCCACAATAAATAATTGTATTTAATTCCACCAATCAACAATAACCCAATTACCCATTCCCGTTATTCTCATTTTACGTCCCTAAAACAACTAACACAAGGGACCTAGTCTTAGAATATTTCATCGGGGTGACAACACATGCTTCGGGGGTTCCTCAGCAATATAAGTCAAATAAGACAACCATGAGGGGGATGGAATACAGCGAATGAACACCCAAGTTCATTAACACCTACAGGTTATGAGCCTACTAGCGTTCCACTGGACTGTCTAGAAAAGTTTGTGGTCATCATCTAAATTCCGCTAGATGACTAGATCAAAACAACATCGAGGCCTCTCATCTGTTTATTACACACCAACTATCTACCCATGTTCTATCCAACATATTAGTAGATAAAACATACATTTTTATACATAGTTTCAAAACCTGTATAGCATGCTCAATCAATACATTTTCCACATAACAGATGAGACACACACACATAACACGTATTTCATAGAGAAATAATGAGATCTATAAGATAGAAGAAAGTGAATATACATTCACACACATAATAACAAAATATACACAAAACACGTATTTTGTATAAAATACTTCATAATTATGCGTTAGAAGAAAGTAACTACACACTCACTTGATTAGAAGATGATCGGACAGCACTACGGCCTGCAGAAGTAGTAATCCTCAGCAGATCTGGAAGATCTCTACAACAATCGAACTTTTCGCGGGCAGAGCTTCGGCTCGGGAATCGCACTTCTCGGGATCTTCGGGGCTTCGAAACATGCTTTGGGGCTCGGGATATTACCGGGGCTTCGGGGTACTTCTGGCACGCAAATCAAGGTAAAATGGGAGAGAGAAGAGAGAAAAAGAGCAAATGAGTCGGCTGCCCTCGCATCCTATTTATAGGAGGCTGAGCCTCGCACGTACGCTGGGCGTACGCCTGTACGCGGGGCGTAAGCCTCCGAAATTGTCACTTCATGCATCATCTGAAGAACTCGAGTGCGAAGGACGTCACGCTTCTCTGTACGTTGGGCATACATCGGATAGGCTCGGTGACACCCCTTCGGATAATACCGGATTTTAAAATTAAATTTTAATATTAATTATTTAATAAACTTTTAAAATTCATATCTTCTTCATACGAACTCCGTTTTTGATGTTTTTTATTTCCACGCGTAGGTGAGACTATGCTCTACAACTTTCGTTTAGACTCCGTCGGCTAATTTTGACTTTATTTTTATTAATAATTTTTAATAGGCCCGGACAGGAAAACTTCGTTATAAATTCATAACTTCTTTGTTTGACGTCCATTCTCGCCTAACTTTTCATCGCTTTGATACCAACAATGAGATCTTCGATTCTCGTTTAGATTGCTTCGGCTAAAAACCGCTCGATCTCAAATCGAGTATTTCGGGCTGCATACCGCTAAGTCGAAACTTCAATAAATCATAACTTCCTCATACGAAGTCAGATTTTGGCGTTCTTTTTATGCACGCTCTCGGTTTAATGAACTCTACGACTTTCGTTTTGATCACTAAGGCTAAATATCGCTCTAACGTAAATTTCACTTTTTACGTCATTCAGCGTTGCCGGTTCTGTCGCGAAACTTCGACAGGTCATAACTTCTTCGTTATAACTCGGATTTCGGCATTCTTTATATCTTCGGAATCCTTGTTTCGACCACTACATCTATATGCAAGGATATTAGGATTATCACACACTTCAAATTTGACGCTTATTTTTATTCTTAATTAATCAAACCACATAATTAAGCAATTAAGCACAAAACACATAATACTCAAATAATACGCTCTTATTATTTCAAAACGGGTTACAAAGGTTAACCTAGACTATTTCATCAACGAAAATGCCTAGCCTAGAAACGCGGGCGTTACACCAATCTATCATGAATTTGTGCATCCTGAATTTGTTGTAGTTGATGCAGAAAAAGAGTTAAACAAAGAGATTGATGTGAATGAAGAACTTGACATGAACAAATCCAATGGTGAGGGTGTAGAAGGATTTGCATATGAGGGGTATAGAGTTGTCATGAATAATGATCCTCAAGGAGTCGATGAATTTTCAGCTAACATCAACATAGATGATGATTTAATGAGAAACTTTCAACCTTTTGAAGGGTTTGAAGACCAAGATAGCATCCCATTTAATGGGTTTGAAGGCCAAGATAATATTCCTTTCAATGATGAGTGGAGCAAGAGAATCAAAACAATGAAAATGAAGATAGTGACTTTATGATTGATGAGGACAACATAATTGAAGATGTTGAAGTTGACATGGAGGATTTCAATCTAAATATTGATACAAAAGCAGAGTTTAATGGATGTTAAAGTTTGGGTGGTCAAAGAAATGAAGAGAAATGATCAAAGAGTTGGGGAAACAAACATTATGTTCTACTGGTGAGGTACACAATGTAGCTTTTTATATTGGGCAGAAATATAAAGCCAAGAAAGAATTGAAAGATAAAGTCGACCTGCATGCTTTAGAGACAAGGAGGAATATCTCATTCGCAAAAAATGACAAGAGTAGATTAACAGTTTTTTGTGATGGAACTGTAGTTGTAAATGCAAGTGGGGTAGGTTGATCTACCTCTGGGAAAAAGGTAAAGGGTAAAGATGTAAACTCAGATAAAGTTAAATGCACATGGAAACTTCATGCTTCTAGGTCAAGTGAACAAGACTATTGGTTTATTAAGACCTATAATTAGAAACACATTTGCCTCCAAACACTAAAATTCAGATTTTGCACAACAACATTTCTTTCCAAACATATTATGGGTCATATTGAAGCTAATCTTAGCCTGCCTGTACGTGCCCTACAAGAGCAACTCCAATCAACATATGGACTTAGTATTTCAGAAGAGAAAGCATTTAGGGCAAAATCATTAGCCACCAAAAATGTTGCAGGAGATTACGTAAAGCAATATGCAGCTTTGAGAGAGTATGTACTAGAGCTACAAAAGACAAATGAAGGTACAACTGTAAAGATTGATGTGGTTTCTGAACCTGTGGTTTCATCCCCAACCAGGCAATTCAAAAGGATATACGTATGTTTAGGTACTTTAAAGAAAGGATTTAAGGCAGGTTTGAGAGAATTTTTAGGCTTAGATGGAGCCTTCATGAAG